AATATATGTTGTAAATTCTAATCTCTATGCCTATGGTTATAATCCCATTTGGGTATGGGTTGTTTTTGTTATGTTAATGAGGCAGGAAGAGTGTAGGGTAATCTTATAAAATACAAAAAGAACAGATGAGGACAAGCAAGCAAGCAAGCAAGCAAAGTTTGGGGAAGAGAGACTCCAAGCCACATTAAGATTGTCCAAAAGCAGAAACTGAGAAAGGAGAAGGACCTTCCTTCAGAGCTGACAGAGACAGAAAGCCTTCCTTAGAGTTGGTTCCCTGCATTTGGACTTCCAGCTTCCTTAACTGTGAGAAAATAAATTTCTGTTAGTTAAAGCCAACCATTTGTGGTATTTCTGTTAAGGCAGCACTAGATAACTAAGACACTCTTTAGAAGATGGAGCAATCTACTTCCATAGTGATACTGCCTTGGAAACCCAAGGAGGGGTCGCTGTGAGTTGGATCCGACTTGAGGGCAGCGAGTGTTTTTTGTTGTTGTTGTTAACTGGCACACTATAGAGCAGTATTTTTTAAAAGTAATTTTTCTTTAAATTTCAAGTTAACAAATTCTTATGCTAATTATTTTATGATTATGCCACTAAATGGGTATTTTAAATAAACATTGATAATTTGACTAAATATATTTCTACAAATATTAAACATTTTTAGAGATTTTCAATACCCTTCACATTATTAATAGGTATCATTTAAAAGACAATGTCATTACATTGGTATAGAAAGAATTATCTTATAATGAAGTACAATGAATTAGCCTAATTCTTTTACTCTGTATGGATTTTAAAATATGTACATCACATTAAAGATGTACATGGGGCTTGAAAATTGCTTTGTAGTAAAGATATTTTTTATCTGACCAGTAGTAAAATAATTTAGACCTCAGTTGAGTGTTTAAAACTAGCACACAGCTTGGTCTTCAACCTCATATGACCACTTACCAAGTTTCTGGTTCTGTCAACATTACTGAGTTTTCCAGATACTGTACTGTAAGTGTTTCCAATGGGTTTTTCAATAGGGAGAGGAGGTGGACTTTGTGGATCCTCATGTAAACCTGAAAAAATAGTAATTCATCAGTAATTTCTGGCCTTTCAGGATTCCAAAGGATGAAATATTTATAGCTTGATTACTTAGGAAAATGACTACCATAAATGAGCCATACAAAGAATGGATAGCTAAGCAAAAGAGAAGTTCCTAGCAAACCTCAGAAAATTGATGGGTTAGTAGATACCAGTTAGTGTTACTGAATGTTTTATAGAGAGTGAAAATAGTACTAAATAAATGCAAGAGCAGCTGGCATTTGTTGAGACCTTTCTTTGTGCTAGTCCTTACATTAGGCAATTTATTCACATACATTTCTCCAGTCAACATCTATGTGTTATATCTGTGCGGTTAACTACTAGCCACACATGAATTTTTTTAAAATTATGGTGAAATATATACATCAAAACATTTGCCAATACAATTTCCACATTTATAATTCAATGACAGTGATTACATTTTTTCATGTTGTGCCACCATCATCACTATCCTTTTCCAAAATATTCCAAAATACATTATGCACCCATAGCAGAAACTCTCTCTTTCCCCTTTCCCTCTGGTAAACATTAATAATCTTTGATTTCTATATATTTGCTTATTTCATATAAGTGAGATCATACAGTATTTTTGTCTTTTTGCAACTGAGTTAATTTGCTCAGTATGTTTTTAAGGTTCATATATGTCATGGCATGTATCAGAACTTAATTTCTCTTTATGGCTGTGTAATACTTCATTGTATATACAGGCCATATTTTGTTTATCCATATATCTGTTGATGGACATTTTGGTTGTTTCCACCATTTGGCTACTGTAAAAAGTGCTATAATGTACATTGGTGTATAGGCACATGTGGTGATTTAAACTTAAATTTAAATTGATTAAAATTAAATAAAATGATTTTCAGTTTCTCAGTTACATGAGCCCCATTTCAAGTACTCAACAGCCATATATGTCTAGGGGCTACAATACTGGACAACACAAATACAGAACATATTCATCTCTATAGAAAGCTCTATCAGACAGTATTTTGCAAGTATGTAAACCTGAAAAAAGCCCACCTCTTCTCCCTGTTGAAAAGCCCATTGGAAACCCTTATAGTACAGTATTAACATCCCACTCATTTTACAGATGAAGAAACTGAGGCTGAGAAAAAAATAAATGAACTACCCAAGGTCTTTAAGCTAGCACTCACCAGATTATTCTAATAAGCTATGCTGCTTCTTAATAGGTGGTATATTCAATCCTCCCCCATCCAAATAATGGATTTTTTTTTTTTCTAATTTATTACCTTCAGATCAATGGGCTTAGTAATCCTAAATTTAATAAACATTACCTTTATACTCAAATCACATCCTTATTTCAGTGACAGTGCAGCCCTAGCTTATTTTAAAAAGAAAACAAAGATGACTTAGACAGCTAATTAAAATCTGTGTGCAGAAATACGAGAGAAGATGATGACTATGACATGCTGAAGCCTCTTTTTCCATACTTCCTGGATGGGGCATTGAAAAAAGATGAGAAATTTTTTCCTTTCTTTCAAAGGAACATCCCCTGCTTCCATTTCATATGAAAAACCTACAAGAGGATGATTTATCAGGGCTTCCTGTTTTAGCCACAGACAGGAAAACAGTCTGAAAGGGAGGAAAATACCCAGGCCAACTATTAGGAAGACAATGATTCAGAGATGGGCAGGTGTTCTTAGTGAGAGGCAGGACTAGTCTGGGAATTAAGACAAAGGAACATCCCAACTCAGTCACCAACTTGAAGACTTTCTCTGTGTTGCAGTTTTCTTATTTTTACAAGGAACTAATGAGTCATTTACAATATAATATTGTGACAAGTAACGAAGAATAGAAAGGTAAAAATAATGAAAGCAGAGAGGAGATAATTTCATGGCAGGAAGGAGTATCTGGTGTGTATATGTGGGGTGGTGGTGGTGGTAAAGGGTTTCCCATTTTAAATAGTCCAATCAAGGAAGATATTACTGAGAAAAGTGGCACTTGAGCAAAAACCTGAAAGAATGGTGAGGGAGGAGCCACCCAGCTATCTGGGCAAAGGACATTCTAGGCAGAAGGAACAGGTACCAAGAGGAAGGAGCTGAAAGTTTCAAAGAACAGCCAAGATCGGAGCAAAAGAGAAAGAAGTAAAAAAAAAAAAAGACTCAGAGAAGAGACTAGTCTACAGGACTTATAGTCTACACGAACCACAGCCTCATCTTGAGACCACCTTGAGCCTGCCTTGAGACCAGAAGAACTAGTCTACCACTACTGATTGACCATTCCAACCATGGACATAAGAGATTCTATCTGGGACCCCAGATAGAATGGGAAGAGAATGTAGAACAAACCTCCAATTCCTTAAAATGGTGAGACTTACAGGACTGGGAGAGATGAGAGGTAGAAACTATTACCCTGAGATACTCTTTAAACTAGGAATTCAAACCACTCCTGGGGGTCACCTACTAGCCAGAAGACAGAGTGGCTCATAAAATAAATAATATTTGTGAGTACTCTTATCCTGTAAATAATCATCTAAATGAGACCTAATGGTTAACATTTACCCTAGATCAAAGATGAAAAGGTAAGGGAGAGACAAGGATGCTAAATTAATGGAAACAAAACAAACAGATGGAAATAATGACAATGCTGAACATATTGTGAAAAGTATAACCAATGTCACTGAATAATATGTATAACCAAAACCAAACTCACTGCCATCGAGTCGATTCTGACTCATAGTGACCCCCATTGGGTTTCCAAGGCTGTAAATCTTTAGAAGCAAACTGCTTCATCTTTCTTCCATGGAGTGTCTGGTGGGTTCGAACTACTGATCTTTTGGTTAACAGCCAAATGCCTTAACCACTGTATCACTAGAGCTTCTTGAATAATATGTATAGACACTGTTAAACGAGACCTAATTTGCTATGTATTTTTTCTCCAAAATTACAATATTAAAAAACAAACAAACAAAAAACCATCCAAGAGCTTTATATCACAAAGCTATTCCTTTCATTCCTTGCCCCTGTAAGTTCTACAGGCATCAGCAGTTGCATTCTTCTTCCTCCACAGCATATATGTATTGCTTAATGATTATAATAACAAAACACTAGGAAACAACTTTTTGTATAAATAGAAATAACTCTAAAAACTGTTTTGGTACTTCAGTTTCCTCACATTGAGCAGTATAGATACAACTTTCTAATAGTTTCTGGAGTTTTCTCAGGGATAATAAAGGTACCCCTCAGTGTATCCTTCTGAAGCTTTTGTAAGTATCAATCTACTTTACAGGTGTGCAGGCCTGAGTCTGCTATCCTTTGAAAGGTCTTCTAAGATTGGCTATCGGATAATGTTTGGGAACTTGATATCAGGAAGGTTTCTACAATTCTTCGAACTGATAAGAGTGGCTCATTGTGCTTAAACTATTTGGGCAAACAACGTGGTTGATGCTGAACACCTGCTTTCCTTCTGGGAGTCTGGAATTTTGCCATGTGGCAGGCAGGGGTGCCTACATGACTAGCCCCCAATAAAAACTCTGAGCACTGAATTGCTAATGAGTTTCCTTGATCAACACCTTTTCTTACATGCTGACGCAACTTGTTGCTAGGGGAATTAAGCATATCCTATGAGAACTCTTGGAAGCTTATGTCTAGTTTCTTCCAGACTTTGCTTTGTGCACCTTTTCCCTTTGCAGATTTTGCTTTATATCCTGTGAGTTGTCCTAGTGAATCATCAAACCTGGGGAACCACAACACAACAAGAGAGCAAATTTACATGTAGAAGTTAGAAGTTGTATTGTTTAAAACCTACATGAGCATCTGATAATATCTATTATTGTTATTTCTCACTATGCTTAAAATCCAGAATACATTTAACAAGATAACAGCAGAGTGGCAAACAACTGCTAACTGTCTCAAACAACCCAATAAGCTATCATTTCCCTGATGTGTGGGCTATATAATGCTGTCAAAAGAAATATACCACCAGTTGTTTAATCTAATGCTACCATATGACCTCCTAAGAAGAGAGAACCCATTAGAATTTGGTACTAGTCACTTTTTCTCCAGTTTGTTCTTCACAGCATCTCAGTTCAATCTTAATACTTGCCTGGGAGCCACCAGTTAATAACAAAATCATCACCTGAATAACAAAACCATCACCAGATCAAAACCAGTATGTTCTTCCAGGTAGTACTTTATAGAAAAACCAACCTCTTAAAGAGATTATTATGACATAGGGTAGGACTGCAATATAACTGTGGGGTGCTATAGGTGAAGGACTGGGACACTGGTACTGCTGTTGGGGGGAATGGAGTGGGCAGATCCTCTTGTTAGACACAAACAAGGATGCATCTAGGTTGTACAAAGGCACTGCAGGTATAAATGAAACCAGAAGCTCATGGAGGAAGTTGTGTGATCACTAGAGGCAATACTCGCAACCACTACGGAACCCACCAAAAAAAAAACAAAAACAAACCAAACTTACTGCCATTGAGTCGATTGTGACTCATAGCAACCCCTTTTGGGTTTCCAAGGTGGTAAATCTTTATGGAAGTAGATTACCCAGTCTTCCTTCTGCAGAGTGGCTGGTAGGTTTGAACCTCAACCCTCCGGTTAGCAGTCAAATGCCTTAGGCACTACGGTACCAGAGCTCCTTATGGAACCCACCACACCCACATAATTTTTAATTATCTCTGGAAACAAACAAACAAACAAAATCTGTCCTCTTTGCTTTTCCTTTACAGTAAATATCAGATTTCTTTTTGAAAAACTTAACGGCCCTAAAAAATTTCACTTGTTGTACCATTAAAAATCCCCTAAAAATGTACATCAAAATGTGGTGGTCCACTAATTTTTGTACCTTGTTATCTTTTTAGAGCTTTTGGTTAATAATGTTCTTCACGTAATTCACAGATAAGCATATCTGGATCACAGTGATTGATTCCTAAAAGGAATACACAACTTTATTTGCTATTAGTTTCAATTACTTCCCCACCAAATCTTTACCTGTGTCAGTAAGATGGGACACTACAGTTGTTTTGAGTGTCAGCCTCCCTCTTTTCTCTCTGCCTAAAGACAACCTTAAAGAGCAATTTACTGTACTAATTCTTCAAAAAATAGTGAAAAAATAACTTGCTCTAAATGTCCTTGGCTATAAATAATGCTAAATGGCACATCAAACATAAATTCAAAAGCAGACATTGATAAATTAGCATATATCCTCCCAGGCTTGGAAAGGCAAATAAAGAAGGTGGAGAAGCACTTACATTTTCCTGATTTGGCTGGAATTCGAATCACAGTGGGCTTCCTGGTGGGTGCTGGTTGAACTGCTAGTTCCTTTGTTGGTTCTGTTTTTGTGGGGAGCTGAAAGGGATCTAATGAAAAACACAGTTTATTTTGCATTTTAGTTAACAAGGACGCACACAAAAAGCCTCATTTATAATTAAAGAGTCATATTTTTCATGCCCCAGGGAAAAGTATTCATGGATAAACAAAATCTCAGTTTGCAGAGACAAAAACAAAGTTGGTGCTCATGAAAGGAAATAACTAAGTGCTCTCTAAATAATTCATATGGCTGTTCTTTCTCTCTGAAGAGAGAGATCCAGGGCAATCTTGAATTATGTAGAAGCTATCTTTCATGGGCGTGCAATCATTTTGTAAGTGTCTGCCTGAAAATGAGGGACAATTGGAACACAGAGCCAATCTTCCCCTATTCTGAAGCCTCCTAGATACCTCAGGAAAGAAGGACTCCCTTCTTCCCTATGTTCTTTGGGCTTGTACTGTAAGACAAAACCCCAGACTTGCCAGTGGCTTTGGTCCATATCAGCACCAGGCAGGTACTTAGCAGTCAGATTGAGAGGTTCAGGAAAACTACACTTTAGTAACATAGAAATGAAAAATATCTTATCTCAGAAAGAAAACAAGACACCTCTCTTCAAATATTTAATTTTGGGGAAAGGATAGATTTTTTCCATCTTAACTGACTTGTTTAAAATGAACAGTATATGCTTAACCCATTGCCGTCATGGCGGATGGGACTCATAGCGACCCCTCATTGGGTTTCTGAGGCAGTATCACTACAGAAGTAGATTGCCCAACCTTCCTTCCGAGGAGTGGCTGCTGGGTTTGAACTGCCAGCCTTCTGGTTAGCAATCAAATGCCTTAGGCCCATGTTAAATAAAAGGATAACCACTCTTTTACTGAAAGAAACTTTTTCTTGACTTCTGGTAAGATGGAGGAATAGGCAGATAAGCAACACAGACCCTCTTCAACAAAGAAAAGAAACGTCAATTGACAGAGATAGAAGATAATCCTGGAGCCCTGAGCTTTGAAAGGAACTATACAGAAGTTGTGAGGCCTGAGTCCTAATGCCCTCCAGGTAATTCTTTAACCAGGAGTCTTTAGCCAAGTCCTAAGGAATGTGAGGCTTGAGCCCTAATGCCCTCCAGGTAATTCTTTAATCTTTAGTGCCGGGGATTCCAGCACGTCCACCCACGCATAAGAGCTTTACCTGGCTCCAGCACAGTCTCCCACATCTCAGGGCGTTATCTCCCCTCCAGATAATTATTCTCTAACCAGTCTTTAGTGCCAGAGACTCCAGCACGTCCCCCCACGTCTCAGAGCTCTACCCTAAACCCCCTAGCAACAACCAATCATTTGTACCCCTTTGCCTTGGTGCTACTCCACCCTATATTTTTCCTATAAAAATGCAATAGTAAGAGAACACGGGGTCTTTTGCCCAAACCACTGCATCAGTGTAAGCAGAGACCCTAGCTTGAGCTAGCCAATAAACTCTCCTTCTTGCACTTGCCTTGTTGTGTGTTGGCAAATTCCTCGCGCCGACCAACTCCTTCCTAACCTGGGCTCAATACAGTGAATTAGGCACCAACTAGTGGAAAAACCTGAACGAAACAGTGAGTACAGAGATGACTGGAGCTGCGGACTGTCAGCTACTCTAACGGGACCAACAGCCTGAATATTGCCAAGTGGTGTTGGGACCTGAGAATTGACCTAAAAAAGATCAGCCCTGGTCACTAAGGGATACAGGGACCACTGATCTGGTGGCCTATGACTAGAAAGGGAAACAGCAAGGTGGGAGACAACCTGAGCTGTTGACTTTCCGCTGTCCAGAGGGTGCAGCCATTTTGATTGTTTACACGTGGCAGCTATTTTGGATATTTATAAGTGGCAGCCATTTTGAATCTTTACAAGTGGCAACCATTTTGGATTTTAAAGTGATAGCATCCTTATTAGGATTCCAGGGACCTAGGAATAGGCTCTGTTTCCCAAAGGGTGGCAGGGACATATGAGAGGCTGACAACAGGAAAGGAGACAGGTGGTAAGTGTATAAGTGCTGCTCACTAGCAAACAGAGGAGCATAGCACAGTATCCTGCTTGCATAGATAACATACAAACAAAACAAAGAAAGTGAAAATCGTGGACAAGTCACTCCAACATACAATCACCAATTAAATATAAACACAAAATTGTCACAATGCCTCAGAGACAACAGAGCATAGTAGTCCACACAAAGAAGCAAGATAAAGCAGAAGAAACAAGGAACCAGGATACAGACCCAAAATACATCCCTGAGGAAGGTGCATCATTGGAACTCTCTGATAAGCAATTCAAAAGAATTATACTTAGGTATCTTCAATGAATTGAGAGAGAGATTAAGGAAAACACAGACAAAATCCTAGACCCATTTCAAAAGACAATACAGGAACAAAATGACAAAATAAATGAAAAATTAGAAATGATACAAAATCTATACACAGAAATCCAGAAGATTAATATTAAATTTTCAGAAATAGATAAGACATTGAATGGGCAAAGGTGCAGAATTGAATCAATGGAAGACAGAATTAGGGAGATTGAAGGCAAATACCTGCACACTTCTTTGGAAGGGGACAAATCAGAAAAAAGATCAAAACAAAATGAAGAAGGCCTAAGGTTCATGTGGGATACCATCAAAAGGAATAACCTATGTGTAACTACAATTCCAGAACAGAAAGACACAAATAAAACCACAGAGAAAATTGTCAAAGATGTGTTGGAAGAGAATTTTCCTGGCATGATGAAAGATGAGACTATATCCATTCAGGAAGTCCAATGAACCCCAAATAGGATAGACCCCAAAAGAAAATCACCCAGACATATCATCATCAAACTTACCAAAACCAAAGACAAAGAAAGAATCATGAGAGCAGCACAGGAAAAATGAAGAGTTACCTACAAGGGGCAACCAATAAGATGAAGCTTGGATTTCTCAACAGAAACCATGCAGGAGAGAAGACAATGGGATGTTATATATAAAACCCGGAAGGAGAAAAATTTCCAACCAAGAATTATGTACCCAGCCAAACTGTGCCTCAAATATGATGGTGAAATTAGGACATTTCCAGATAAGGAGAAATTAAGGGAATTTGGTAAAACCAGACCAACCTTACAAGAGATGCTAAAGCGAGTCCTTTGGACAGATAAGCAACAACAGCCAACAACAACTGACCATTAATGCACATGATGACATAACCCAGAAACCAACCCAGCTATGGAAGTATCCCAAGTAAATAAGCCTACAAGATTGTCAACAGGGAACCAGAGACATCAGTTGACAAATGAGGACAACTACAAACCAAAAAGAGGGAAAAAACTGTTTCATTACAGAACATCTACACGGTAGGGAAGTCAAGACAGCTATGAGATAGAATGGACTGTTCTAAATTTGGGAAGAAAACTGTAAATCATAGGGTAACCTCAAAGAAGAATGATAAACCTTCACATCAAAAAAGAAGACCAGCATAAATATTCAGCAAATACTAAAACAACAGCAATGAAGGAAGTGATAACACAATTCATAAACAAAATGAGCTCAGCATAGAAAATTATATGGAACAAAGAAATTGACACCACGAAAAAGCACATAACAAAAATGACAGTAACAAATTCATATTTGCCAATAATTACATATCTGTTAAGGGACTTATCTCTAAGATTTATAGCGGAAGAGTGGATGACCAAACTATGCTACGTACATATAATGGAAGGCTATGTAGCACTAAAGAATAATGTAGAGTCTGCAAAACACTGCATAATATGGATGAACTTGGAGGACATTATGCTGAGTGAAATAAGTCAATCACAGAAGGATAAATACAGTATTAGTTCATTGTTGTGGAGGGTCAAGGAAAGGTTCATACATGGAGGGAAACTTTCTTTGTTGGTTGCCAGGGGTGGGAGGGGATGGGAAGGAACACTGCAAAAACAATAAATAAATAAATAAATAAAATGCATTAATCCATGTCACTTCAGTTTTGTGTATTTCACTGTACATAAATTATATTTCAATAAAATGCATAAAAAAGAAACCTTTTCCTTCAATGTAAATGTTCTTTTCACTGTTTGAAAAAATGACCACAAAATTTAAATCAATAGACTGTCATTGTTTTTGCTGTTATGTGCTGAGACGGTCCCGACTCAGGGGTTTCCAAGGTGGTTATCACCACAGAAGTAGATTGTCCAACCTTCCTTCTGAGGAGTGGCTGGTGGGTTTGAACTGCCAGCCTTCTGGTTAGCAGTCAAGTGCCTTAACCACTACGCTACCAGCACCTAATAAATAAAATCCTATATACACTGGATACTCTAAACAGCCCACAGAATCCCATGAGGCTATCTTTGCCTTTAGTCAACAAGAGGCAGAATGAGGATATGCTGTTAATTCTGCATCTGTTCTATGGATGTTGCCTGTGGGGAGATCCTACCTATAAACCAATGCTCTCTGTAGCTCCTGTGATGAACAGCATTCATGCTTTGCCTGTGTTATGAGCTGTAGCTCAATAAGCACCTTTTGCTGACCAGCTCTTTGCAGGATACACAAAGAGCTGAGCCAAAAATAAGAAGGTTATTCAGTTCTCAAATCCCTCCCCTTCTCTTTCGCCCCACACTCAGCCAACCCCACCGTTTTATGAACTGCCAAAAGCATCCATCATTAGTCACTTGCTAACTTAATCTAATATTCACCATGTGCCAGTAACAGTGCTAGGTAGGACATACGGTAAACTACAATCCACCCCATCTTGCATATTAGCTAACATTATTATTATTAGGCTACTGAGAAGAAATCTAACAGCTCACAGATGAACCAAGGCCTGCCTAAATTCAGGAAACTAATGAAAGATTATCAAAATAATATCATAAAACTAAAAAAAAAAAGACTTATGTAATAATCACACAGCTTTTACCATTGTTACCTATGCTCATCCAAAATAAACAAAATTCTCGCTTTTAGGTTTAAACAAATTCCTTAAGTTAATTCTTTATTTTGTTATAGTCATTGTCTTTTATTTCAAAAGCAGTATTTGTTGAGGAAAATGGA